TCTGAATGCAATGATCTTTATTTCATTGCGATAGCTTTTATAGCTTTTACGTTACATGAAACTCTGTTTGAGTCCAGTTTTTTGGGGGGTGCCATGTAGTAAAATAGCAAAGTACACTGAGCACATGAGAGCACAATGCCATATTTTCAAATATTATCATGTAGCACTAATTCTTAATATAAAATTACATTAAAGTAAACAAAAACTAACATGCAAATAGATCTGTGACTCCTAACTAATCCACTATGTCTATGAGTACCTACAGTATACTGTAACATGATTTATACAGTAGGTTTAATTTCAACCTCAGGCTCAGTTGACATTTTTTGTAACATATTGTCATGTTATGATGTTTGTGATGTTACTCTGAGTGTATATCCACACCGGGCGAGCTTGAAAAATATGCCCGGCCACGGTGGGAATCGAACCTACGACCTTTGGAATCCTAGCTCGCCCGGTGTGGATATACACTCAGAGTAACATCACAAACATCATATTATTCACCTGAGTACACAACACCAACACAGAAAAAATCATATTACTAGATTACAATGGCATCGAAGGAACTAGATTCTGTTCCGAAATATCACTTACTCGAACCATCCTGACCGCGTAGCTCAGTTGGCAGAGCATTGGGCTAGTATTCCAAAGGTCGTAGGTTCGATTCCCACCGTGGCCGGGCATATTTTTCAAGCCCGCCCGGTGTGGATATACACTCAGAGTAACATCACAAACATCATATTATTCACCTGAGTACACAACACCAACACAGAAAAAATCATATTGTCATGTTCTTATACTTACCAGTTTGTCCGTAAGCAAATAAACATGCATTGTAGCCCTTGAAGGCATTTGTTAACACATCTGTCCCCAAACATTTGTAGACCTTTTCTTGATCTAAGAAAAAACAGAGAGGAAATAGACAACTTGCATGTTAGACTAATTTTTGACTTAGGCAAAAAAAGTAAATTCCCGTAAAGAACTTATTAAAATCAATAAAAATGCAAAATTTGGTTACGAAATGTTGTAAAATACAGAAAATATAGCCTTGCAAAGTTTGCATATTTTGTATACAAATATACTGAAAATATGCAAACTTCGCAAGGCTATATTTTCTGCATTTTACAATATTTTGCAACCAAATTTTGCATTTTACTAATTTCATTATTTTCTTTTTAACTGTTGTGTTTTATTCCCTTCTCTCTACTTAGATTAAAATTTAGTCTAACATGCAAGTTGTCCATTGATGTGGTAAAGTGTAACTACACCAAAAAGTTAATGAACATAAAACATGATGCTGTATAAGACACAATAGGGCAGTGCAGGGGTCGTTAACTTTTTTGCATCGCAAAAATTATTCGAAAATGTACCTGCAAAATGTCTTCATGCAACATATCAGCCATGAATTACTATAGATGCCCATTAGTAGGCTGGCTTATGAGTCAGGGCTCGACTTTTATAGCGGCAATTGCCGTAGAGCAGTGGCAGCGCCAGTATTCCAAATTTGGGGGGCATTTGAGGGGCAAACTCAAATTTTGGGGGGGCAAGATAGAATTTTTAAAAAGATCGCCCCCCCAGGAAATTTGCCCCCCGCCCCCCTCAAAACGTGGCGATATTCCTAGGAATATCACCTCCCAGGGGGGTGGGGCAAATACCTTAGGAATATCGCCCCTCTTTAGGACATTCGCCCCCCATATATGCGATATGGTTTATTCAAATAATTTCGTGATACTTTCATCTTATTATTGCCTTACACGTTTCAGAATTTAACTCTGCAAAACTAAAGCTTTTTTGTCTTTTTTTGAAACGTATTATTGGAGTATTGGCAAGTTTTACCATTCGGAGATTTACAAACTAATATTGAAACTGTAAAAACAGTTTCATGTATATGCGCATTCACTAATGAGTAATGACAACTTATAAGCCATACATTTTTCGATAACGACAGAATGCTTGTGCAGCCTTTAGTCGCTCTTAGTGACTAATAATTTTTTTTGAGGGGGAGCAAAATGGGGGGGCAAAAAATAATTGGGGGGGGGGCATTTGCCCCCCCCCC